CGCGTCGCGGGGAGAGAGGGAGGAGGAGAGGGAGACAAGAGGGAGGGAGGGAGAGGGAGAAAGAGAACTGGAGCCTGGCTATGGCAGGGGCTGCAGGCGTCAGAGAAAGAGGGGTGAGTGAGGGGAGGAGGGAGGGATGGAGGAAGGGAAGAGCCCAGTCTGAGATTCGGGCAGAGTGCTGCAAACAGATGCCCATCCTCCATGCTCACCGCTCACCGCTCACCGCAGGGACTCGCTGGTCCCAGCTTGGCTTTGTGTAGGCTTGGGGGGATGGTGAAGACAGCCCCCATTCCTCAGGGTAAGCCCAACAGGAGGGGATCGCCCTATGTGAGGGTGGGGTCAGAGAGCTCTTCATGGAGGCTGCTGGCACCTTTTGTGTGCCCAGGCCTGTGCTGAGGGGAAAGTGTGCCCTGGACGTGGGTGGGGCTGATGTGAAGGCCGAGAGAGGCATTCCAGAGGACGGGCAGGTTCTGAGGCAGAGACGAGGGTAAGTGAGGCAGTGACCAAGGGCCTGGGACAAGGGCTTCGAAGCAAGATCTAGGTGGGTTCCAAACAGGCCTCTGACGGCCCCTCGCTGTGGCTGAGCGAGTTTCTGACCCTCCAGCTTCCACTTCTCAGGGGCAAGATGAGACAGTGACTCTAGTTCTCAGGTGACAGAGGACAAATGTGCACAATTGGTGAGTGGGTGGGTGTTCTGCCCCCCCCCCACCGCCCAGGCTCAGGGTTCTAGTTGATTCCCACAAAGGGAGATCCTTGCAGGGATGGGAGGCCTTTTTCTGCAGTGACCACCTCGCCTCACTTTGGGACTAGAAAGTCAGACAAATGGACTATCATTCCCATTTCAGGGACAGAGTCACCAAGGCTGAGAGCAGTGCTTACTCCATAAGCAATTAAGTCCCAGGGCCAGGAATAAAACTCTGGGAAAATCCGGTAACCTGCAGAGAGATGAGGTAGGCTCAGAAAGGTGAAAGTCAGGGACAAACCTAAGGATCAGAGTCAGCCAGGAGGGGGCCCAACAGGTGTATATTACAAACACACCTTGATATGCACACGGAGCAAGGAGCAAGTGTGTGACTGGTTAACATCTGTCCTGTGGGCCACATGGGGTTTGGTCCCCTGTGGTGCTGGGGTCCATCCCCAGCAGGTCCAGGGGTCCCCAAAGGTGTGGACGGAGTCGGCGAAGAAGGAATGACACAGAGACAGCGTTCAGTTGATCAGCAGCCTAGCCAGGATCTCTAGCCAAGTTCTGGTCAGGATCTCCAGCGAAGTTCTGGTTAGGTTCTCCAGCCAGGTTCTGTCTTGGATCTCCAGCCAGGTTCTGTCTAGGTTCTCCTGCCATGTTCTGTCTAGGTTCTCCAGCGAAGTTCTGTAGCCAGGTTCTGTCCAGGATCTTTTGCCATGTTCTCTCACTAGGTTCTGTCTCTAGGTTCTGTCTTCTGTTGTCTTGTTACATCTGTATTTATACCAGTTGATTTTAATCCTGTCAATTTCTATTCCAAAGGTTAGGGTGTTTCTTATCTCCATTCCAGGGAGTAAAGATTATGTAGCTTAAGCGTGATTGTTCGTAGTTAAAGTGATTAACTACCCGCCTGGCACTTAGTTAAGGGATTTTATTCCCTCCCTAACTTCAGGGAAAAATCCCTACCTGGGGAAACAACCTTTCTTGGAGAGGTGACCTTGGTTAAAACACATAGCACTAAGGGGAGCAAACATATTAAGAACAGTATGCCATATACGCCAGGTCCCTTGAAACATATGCTGTGCAGATGTTTCTTCCCTGCAGCGACTGTGTCAAGCAGCAAGGATGGACCGGCTCCCGGCCCTGTGGGAGTCTCACAAAGCGTGCCAAAGCAGACAATCAATTCAAGTTTATTGGCTGATCAAGATCCCTGTGGCTCTGAGCAGGGCTTGCTCTGGTCAACCTTGTTTCCCTTTCCTCTCTGAGACTTGTAAGCTGCTGGCTTTGGGCAATCTACTAACCACCTGTGCTTTCTTCCCTCACCTGTGAAGTGTGCACAGCAGAAGAACTTATCTTAGAGGTCATTAGCACAAACACACCACTGCCTGCATGGATAGTTCTGAAGCCTGTGGCTGGTAAGCATTAAGCAAGGGCGTGGCCAGAGCTCCTCACCTTCTCCAAGCTTCCTGCTTAGAGGCCAAGGTAGACACTCTACAGTCCCCTCATCGGAACAGGTGGTGGAGGTGGATGCCAGCTTGTGTCCTGGACTTCCCAAGCATGATCTCACACATCAGCATGGACACACATGTGACATAAATGTGCCACTGGCGGAAAACATCTGGACATTAACGAGCCCATGAGGAGCTCTGAAGTCAGCATTGCCAGTGGCCTGTGGGCTATCACTGCAGCGTCGATTTCTTCCTGGTGTCTTTGGAACACGCGGGGGTTGCCTAGACCAGTATCTCTGACCACACAGAGCTGTGGTGACCCCTGGGACCCCATGTTGACTGCCAGCTGGTGCTAGATGCTGGGAATTCAGAGGGGCCCACCCTAACCAGTGGTGGACATTGACCGGAAAAATGGCTAAACCCAGGGGACAGTAAAGGAGGAGCTGGTGAGGCTCCCAGGAGCCAGGTCACGGCAAGGGGCCGCCATTTGCAGACTTAAGGAGAGTGAGTGTGTTGTAGAGACTGAAAAAACCCAAGCGATGCTTAGAGAAATGGAGTTACACATCTTTATTACGCCAGCAGTCTCAGAGGAGTTGCCTCCAAAGTCTGAGCAAACCAATATGGTGGAAGCTCTTCTTTTATCCCCTTTGGTTTGTCCCCCAAATATGGATGGGACTTCCGGACCTTTTGTAGGCTTTGCAAAACCCGTGTGTTGTTGGGATGGGGGCCTTGAGACCATACCTAAGGGCCTGGCCTGGCGCCAGCGCTGATAACCCCCTCCGGGAGTTGTATATTGTTCATGGTTTATGGCCTCTGTAAAATGTGAGCATTTAGGTAACAGGTCTTGCAAGACCAGATTGTGGAGAAAGGGGCAGTGACTTAATTATAGGTTATCAAGAATGTACATTAGGTTACTGGCACAGATTCAGATTGCTAGCCCCCCCTCCCCCCAACATCAGGGTTACATTGGAATTAGCTTTTTAGCCTTCTCAATTGGTTTAGACTCCAGTCTTAAAGAGTTCTGGTTGTCCAGGCAACCAAGGTAGCTTGGCCCAGGGAAGGATAGTGGAATGGAGGCCATGGTGGAGTTGACATCGAGGGAGGGCACGGGCGGGACCCCAGGTTTCTTCCCGCGGGCGATGGAGTGTCCCTCCCTGAACTTAGGGTCAAAGAAAGGCAGGTGGGGCTTGAAACCAAGCTTCAAGGCCACTGGCATCACAGAACCTTCAATTGGAGAACGGTTTCCGCTGGGAGCTCAATGCAACGGACCGGAAGTGGGAGCAGAAGTGACGTAAAGTGACGCTACGCACCTCGGCGCACGAAGTCCGAACTGGCAGACGGCGGAGCACGCGCTGGTGCCCCGAACTAACTGGGGTGAATTCTTGGGACCCTTGGTCGTGGAAGGCTTCCGCAGAGACTAGTGGGCCGAGAGTCGCGGAGACCCTGGAACTGGTACTTTTAGCCGAGTGGCGGCTTCCAAAACTACAGCTCCCGGCAGGTCCCGCGCTGCCTTCAGGCCCACGCTTAGGCTATTTGGCCGCGCTGCATTCTGGGATTGGTAGTTTTCCTGCGCGCTTGGGCTTTGGGCGCCGTTCTTGGAGGAACCGGTCCTTTGGCTCTGGTTGCCTTGTGGCCGGGCCCTGCAGCAAGGGCGGGCATTCAGTGTTTAGGTGAATGCCGGCATCCAGGCGAAACTGAGGCCTAGAGAAGTTGAGTGACTTGCTGGGGACCACACGGATTCGCTTCCCAGATTAGAGCCGGCGCACATGCGCTTTCGTTACACGTAGTTGCCCACCAGAGAGAGATGGGGCGAAGCTCCGGGCCAGGGGAGCAGAGGTTGGGAGACACAGGGGCAGGAGCTTCAGACCGGCCCAGGCTGGGGTGGGTCGCTGCTAGAATCTGGCCTCTCAAGCTCTGGTGGAAGGAAGTGAATTATTATTGCAGGTGGAGCGTGTGGAACCGTGCCCTACTTCTGCTCCTTTAGTCTGTGAGCCTGGCCGCCTTTCAGAGCGGGATGGAGTTGTGTGAGGCAGAAGGACAAGGCCGGGCTGATGCTAGGTTCTTCACCTTCCAGCTCCTTGTGCTAGGATGTCATAGGCGTGCCATAGGACCTTGTCCCTGGGGGAAGGGGTGGGGGGTGGGGGCTGCCTGAGATGACTGAAGTGGCCTGGCCTCCAGAAAAGCTGGCTACCAACAGTCTTGTCCCCATTTCTGTGCCATAGGAATTCCTGGAAAACTGCGTCATGTCCCAGTGCCACAGGCTGGCATCCCTTACCTGGAGTGGCTGAGACCCTGAGATGTTCAGAGTGGGTTTTGTCTCACAGACCCGCACAGCCTGCATGTCAGCCAACCTCGGAGCCCTCCTGAGAACAGGCCATTATGCCCAAGATAATCCTGAGTGGGGTGACCGTGGATTTCCCTTTCCAGCCATACAAATGCCAGGAGGAGTACATGGCCAAAGTCCTGGAGTGTCTGCAGAAGGTAAAGCTTGTACCTGGGGGATGGGTCAACGTGGGCAGAACTTCAGCAAAGACCCGACATAGTCCACGGCCTATTCACTGTGGCCAGTCCTACTGCGTGAAAGGCACCTTCCGGACATGGGGTTCAATAAGTAGGGCCGATGTTCTAGACCAGTATAAGAGACGATAAACAAGGAACAAGAAAAGATCATTCTAGACGGTGATGAGTGCTGTGAAGAAAAGACAAAAGGTATAGGCTTCTGAGGAGGCCTCCTGAGGGGATGATGTTTGAGCTGAGGCCCAGTGAGCAGCCAGCCTTTTGAGGATCCAGAGGGCCTATTTCCACATAGAGGGATAGAGGGTCAGCCGGTGCCCAGTCCTCATTGTGGAAGGTCTTTAAGCCTCGGGGGAGTGCAAGGAGGGAGGAGGATGCAGGTTGCATTCCACTACGTTTCTTCGTTTCTTCGCGTGCCCTCTTCCCTGCTCGAGCCCCAGCCCCTGAGGGCTGCCTGACCTGGGCTCCAGGCTGCTCTTTTTTTTGTTTTCCAAAGTAGTTTATACACTTTATTTTATTTTTATTTTTTTAATTGTTTTATTGCTTAAAGTATTACACAGAGTATTACATATGTCCCCTTTTTTTCTCCCTTTTGACCCTCCCCTAGCCTCCCATGCCCCTCAGTGTCTTGTGTCCATTGGTTATGCTCATATGCATGCATACAAGTCCTTCAGTTGATCACTTACCCCCCTCCCATCCCCCAACCCTCCCTGGCCTTCCCACTGTAGTTTGACAGTCTGTTTGATGTTGCTCTGCCTCTGTATCTATTTTTGCTCATCAGTTTATAATAGTTGTAATTATCCATAAATGAGTGAGATCATGTAGTATTTTTCTTTCATTGATTGGCTTATTTCACTTAGCATAATGCTCTCCAGTTCCATCCATGCTGTCGCAAATGGTAAAAATTCCTTCTTTTTTACAGCAGCATAGTATTCCATCATGTAGATGTACCACAGTTTTCTAATCCATTCATCTGCTGATGGGCACTTAGGCTGTTTCCAGATCTTAGCTATGGTGAATTGTGCTGCTGTGAACATAGGGGTGCATATATCCTTTCT